TCCCCACCCCCCTACACTCTCGCCTGGTTTCCGTCCTCTCGCTCGCCCCCGCCGTAGTGCCCCGAGCCGGTCGGCGACCGCGCGCCCTCCCTCTTCCAGGTGTCCCCGCGTCCCTTCCCGTTTGTCAGTGTTTCTCGGCTTCACGTTAGTGTACGAAGTAACGATGTACGAAGTAACTTCGCTTCGTTTTGCTTCTCCTCGAAAATGGCTGTGTGCCCTGCTTAGTTCCTCATGGATCGTGTATATCATGTATGTCCAGGTCTTTCGATGTCTGCCCGACAATCTCCCTGCTCTGCACACGACGCGCCAGGTCGATTTGCTATGTGTTGTCTCAAAAGGAGCGTTCAACTCAGAATTTGAAACGTAAAGTCTACAATTGTGTGCTAAACTCCGAGTGAATGGACTCCTTTAGTAGCCAATCTACGGGCAAATCAACGACTTTAAAAGACGTCCTTGAAATGGTGAGCGTAAGAGAAAAGTGTTAAATGTGTAAAAAGCGCAAACCAATTTGTGTTTAATGTGCAAGAAGCACAAAAAACCAACACTGAAACTGCGCCAGAAAAGATAAGTGTTAAATGTGTAACAAGCACAAGCCAATATGTTTTTTATGTGTATGAAGCACAAAAAACGTCATTAAAACGGTGCCCGTGAGATAAAAGTGTTAAACATGTAAGAAACATAAGCATAATATGCGTTTAATATGTAAGCACAAAAAAATGTCATTGAAACAGTGGCCGAAGGATAGAGTTTAATGTGTAACAAACACAAAACACGCCACTGGCTATTTGTATAACTGTAGAAGTACAGAAGCAACTCGCATTGTAATGTGATTTATTCCAACACTGATCTACTCATCATAGAGCACCATCAATGGCCGTCGGAGACAGCCGATCAGCGTGGGCTCCAGAGCTCAAGATTCGGGAAATAAGCCTATATAGCATTGTTGTTATTCATCTAACTTCTCGACAACGAGAGTGTCTCGTTTAGCTGCTTGTTTTTGAGCCAGCTACCTTAATACAAGTGCCATGCAAATTATTGAAAATGTCCTGCACTGTGAATGTGTGTTCATTCTCACTGACGAAAAAGAACAGAGTGACGAGTGAGAATGTAGTAATGTCGGTGACTGCCAACTTTCTTGCCAATGTGCTGGAATTTCATATTGCTTGAACGTCGCGAAGATGTAGAGAAATTGTGGCATCATTCAGCCGCTGATCCGTCACAACTCCGCAGAGACGAGGTAGAGGGTCGGCAAATTTGGGTCGGCAAACTGATCAGAATCGAATTTCCGAAAGAGCGTGTAGAAGTGGACCGCAAGTAGAGTACTCGCTAGCCAGTAAATTCAGGCTTCAACGACTCTGCGACAATGTACATTCGATTAGTACCGTTCTGTCGAGTTGTAAGTGCAGGATCGGACATAAATTGTACTTGATTCTATGTACCATCTGGCATAGCTTAGATTTTTTTACTTTTCGTACAAGTAGCTTTCGCTATTAATTATTCGTTCTAATATATTAATATACTTTCTTATTATTCTACATCAATCCTTTTGTGTGTTTGTGTTCAAAAAAAATATTAACGTGAACCTGCTTGCCAGTTCATTGTCAACATATGCTCATCTAAACATAATTTACTTTTATCCTCTTCAGTTATTGCCTCCACAACTAAAAACTGTCATTTTGTTTTAGTTGTCTTATTTGCAGCTATTAGAATTGTGTGCGGCTTTGGATCGGATTAGCTATTAGAATTGTCGGATCCTGCATGTAGAACTCTACAGTTCTTTGTAACCAAAAATTAAGTTCTTTGGTAGTCGATGACGACTGTCCTCTCTCGAGACCGAGACTACAAATCGGTTCAGATCCTAAAACGTCAATCAACGGCATGGCAAAAGTTAGACTTGCTTTTCTTCGTGTTCCCTGTTACGTAGTGCCTGTACCAACAATATTGCTTATGTGTTGATGTTCTCTTACGAAGCTCAATTTAGGAGCTATGCAAGTCGCTCATCTATTGTGTATGTCACCATACTCTATACGTAATATTTGAAATAATTTAAAATTCAAAAACATTATATATGTTTCGTAGTACATCAATGAGCTTTTGATTTGGCGGATCGACCACGAAGAAAGGAATTTCCATTCATTGATCGATGTGTCCTTTTCGTCTACAACTATCGAATTCATTCACAATTCCTTACAAAATGCTGCATTATGGAAACTAATAAAATGTTTCCATGGTAGATCCACTTGAATGGTTAAAAATCCAACGTTAGAAACGATACCAAAGAAAGCTGCAGGGAGGTTGTGGTGCCTGTCACGACTAAGGCAGAAACACCTAGGAGATGCGTAAAGACCGTCGTCCGTCTTTTCAAAAGCTCCCGAAATTTTGGCAGCGAACAGCTCTCTTCTTATAGCTCTTTGATTTCGGTAATTCGTCGGATTAACAGTACTACTGATGTCTAGTTCGCGTTCAGTCCACGCTTTGTGGACTAACCTCGCCTGCCTCACATGCGGTGGAAAGGCCCAAATACAAGCGGCGTTCCAGAGAACATCAAGCCCTTCTTTTCGAACACTCGGCCGCATGTCACCACGATGTTAATCAATGCCTTTTACGATGCGGTGCTACTGATTTATGTTTTGAGTGTTTCCAGCCCTATTGATATATTTTTGAAGAAATCAAATGGTAGAGCAGAGCTGTTCAACAGCCGAACATTCAGCATCAGCTCTTGCGAAGTACGAAATTTAATGTTTGTTGCATATTACTGTACCCAAACATACTTGTGTTGATGTAAAATAATGGATTTAGAACAATGTACTATATATGTTAAAATTATATCCATGTGTATGATAAATGTTAAAATGAAAAATTGATTTTTAAACGAACAGATATCACAGATCTTGTCAGTTCCATTGTCATATGTAATGACAATATCAATCAAGCATAGAAGATGAATATTTATTTCCCCATTCAGTTTCTTAAGATATGTACATAACATGTATACTTCCAAAGGACAAAAGGTCATTCTTGGCCATGGCTCATTGACTCTCAATCTTTCCATAATTCATTTGCTGCTTACTTGCCCTTGTTTTCCTTTGGTTTCTTTACTATAGACATCACATTCATGGAGCTACAATAACATGACAAATTTAAATAATACAAAAATATTCTCACTATAACTGGAGGACTTGTAATTGACTTTGAGATTTGAAATTGAAGTTCAAGAGTCAAGTATTGCAAATGAATGCCCTTACAAGCAAGTTTTGTTCACAAAAATTAGAAGGAAGGTTATTCCTTTCGAAGCAAGATTCAATATGTCTTCCTAAGTAAATGCCTATATTTGGGCAACAATTTCACTATGTTTGAATTCTCGTGTCATGGTCATTTATGATGCCTGTGTCTGTAAAAGAGCAGTATTATTTGTTTAATTTGTGAAACTAATTTAATAGTAATTCATCAAACACTTCTACTTGCTTTGGGATTTGAGCTAAGCGATTTAATAGTGATCAATTCATTATAGAAATAAAGTTATCCTCTTGTCACTCTCAATTTTGAGTAATGTATTTAAAATACATATTTTTTCATCACTTCGCAACTTACAAAATCATAGAATGATATCCGTATTTTAATAATAAGCAAACTAATATTTCAGTTAATGACTACTTGGAAATGTTTCACAAAAGGGTCATTACGCTCCAGTAAGTGACTAGTACATTATTTTATTTTATTTCAAATGATTATAATCAAAAAGTACTTCTTTCCTTCTCTTTTGGGAACAATACATCAAGAAATATTTCATAATACTCTCATAACTAAATTTATTTTTAATTCTACTCCAATGAACTAGTGAGATTCTGAGCTAAAATACATTGTTTGTAAAATTTAATAAACAAATCTCATAGCATCTCTCTCTCACAAAACAGGAGTGACTACAACAGATTACAGACATAAAAGTAAACTTTTGGAAAGAGCTATAATTAATTTAAAAAAATAAAATGAGATTCATGAAGATTAATCTATTAAAAGAAGAGAAATTAATATTTTGATGACACATTTGTTTAGTATTATATATGTACATTACATGAAAAACTGAAGTAGAACATATTGAATAAGTAGATTTTCTTCAAACTGTCTGTGCAAAAAGCATTACATCTGTTAGCCAGTGCTGTTGACAAATGAAATTGACTTGAATGAAGTGATATTTCACTTCAAAGTATTTGACTCACAATTTTTATATGATGTAAAAAAATTGTTTGGTGTTGCAGACAATTAATAGATAATTGCAGTAAACACTTAAAATGAAATGTATTCAAATGCATAGTGTTTACAATGCTCTTGTAGAGATGCCTTTATGCACTGGACAATAATGGAAATACATGGCCGTACTTCACATCATTGAAACCAATTTTTTTTCACTTTGAAACTTAACCTACTATGCTAAGTAACACTCTACTGATGAAAGATACTTTTTCACAGATCATTACAATTTCTGATTTTATGCCTGTCGGCCATACGAGTTTGATCAAAACTATTTTATCCACAATTCACTAAAAGACTAAATAATTGTTCATTATAACTGCCAAAAGGAGTAGAGCATCATTTAATTAATTTTCTGTGTGATTTGTTACTTTTGTACTGTATGACTACCTACCTACCTGTTTATAGCATACTAAGTAAAATTTAGATTAAAAAAAAGTAAAATTGAATCATTCTCCTCCAGAGACCATTTGGTTAATTTGGAACACTATCTGCATTAATTCAATCATTACATTAATAAAATAAATTTGAAT